TACTAATGTGTGTGTGTGTGTGTGTGTGTGTGTGTGTGTGTGTGTGTGTGTGTGTGTGTGTGTGTTTGCGTGTGTGTGTGTGTGTGTGTGAGTTATGTGTGCTCTCGTGTGTTTATGCTGCTATTGCAAACGTAAAATAAGATAGCGTAAACACGGCACGTAAGCCGACTCGCGGCCTTCCGAGCGCATGGTTTCGGTGAAATGGGGGTAATTCAGGTCACAGTTTCTTTGCTCTTTCGCTATAAAACACCAAATGCTGTACACTTTGAAAAAGTTCAGATTTTCTTCGTTACATTAGTGTAAGTTGTTTGTATTATATCCGAGTATTTGGAGCTGGAGAATCGCCGTTGAAAGGGAAGCCCCTCGCGGTCGGAAAGCGAGGTCGGCCAGTTTAAAATTGACACCCGTGCAGCCGAGGCATTCGAATGCTTTGCAGAAAGACTGATGATTTAAAACCGATTTTTTCATAGGTGGAGAACTATACAGCTTTTGAGCATGGTTTCGCTTGGTACATTTTTGGCACTTGGAGTTTGGATAGAAAACCTCTTTTAAAAAAGCGTCTAAGTTTTCAAAGATCATTTTTAACACGAAATGTATAAAATACCAGCTAAAAAAAGGTACTAATAGAAAGAACAGTTCATTTTTCTAGTAGAATAAAGTCATGGGCTTGGAAATATTTTGCATGAATACTTCCGCGAAACTACCGGGAGCACTCAGTATACTATAATATTGAGCCGATCGCTCCCCGCTAGGGCTGGTGCAGCGCCGGCCGGGACAACGCTCGTTGTTTTTATTGAATTAAGACAGATCATCGTGTTTGAGGCAATAAAATACTGAATCGTAATGATCTCACAGTCTTTAAAAACATTAAGCTTCATTTCTTTGTTACAGTGATTTTACTCTGTTAATATTGTAGAGATGCTTGGTGCACTTGGTACTCTTTTATTATCTGTCATACATGGGGTTGCAGCCAATCAACGACTCCAGCAATATTTGATTATTATGTTAAATTGAAACAGCTGCAATTCTCTTAAAAATTGACGGAGAGGTAAAGTATGATACCAAAATTCTCATGAGTTATTGGCCTTTCATATGAAACAGATGAATTTGACATAAAGCTACTTTGAAAATTTAGTATCCGGTACCTAGTATAATGTTGCATTTGATGTGAAGGCCATTCTCGTGAAAATTTTATTTTGCCATAAGTTTTTATTCAGTGACTGAATAGTTTTCTATTTCTGTGTTTCACCTTGTAGTGGCACAGTCTCTATCTCAATTCTAAGACCCTTGTTGCTATGGAAATATGTTGCTCAACTTCGGAGGCTATTTTCTCCTTTTCATGTTTCCTCACCTCGCACAATTAAAAGCTCCGTATTTTCGTCAAAGAATGTCATAAACTTCATTCTTTTTTTAAATTGTAGGGAAAAGGTGATAGTTTTTTAAAATAATGTTAACTTAGTTTTGAAATTTCCTTCATATGACTGATATAGACGGGCAGGGACACATATTGTAAATGTCGTTCAACATTGCAATGTGTAAAAAAAAAAATTTTCAGTGAAAACAAAGTATGTAATATAGTTTGATATGGCTCATTGATTGAGATTAGTCTCATTCCTCTCCTTAAAAAGTAACTTATTTGAACGAAATAAATCTTTGGAGTTTAGATATTATCTCGGGCGCAACAATACAACATTTCTTACATCTCCTGTAAATCTTCTATTTTGACAAACAACACTGATGAATGACAGCAAAATGTAATTACAAAACACTAATAATTTTAAAAAGGTACAAATTCATTTCAATAATCTGGAAAAATCAGAACAAAATTCCCCAAGCAAAAAGCCTAAAAACTATAACCACTGTTTTTTAGATTGAAGGCTAACTTCAATACTTCAAAAACTATTGAATCACCTTGAAAGAGTAAACATACAAGCGTCAACTACTCAACCGTGTCAAAAGACAAAAACAGAAAGCAAAGAACTTGAAATACTCTTCATTAATATTCTACTAGTGGTAGGTGCAAGTATCAAGTCACCTAAAACATCAATGTTCAAGTGAAAGAAAAAACACACAAAGAAAGAACAAATTTCGTCTTGTAAACAAGCTGAAAGCAAACCAATCCCCCTGTTATGTGAACATATTTAAACCATACAGATTGATTGGCAGGATGAAAGGTCTTACCTGTACAAGTGGCCCACCACCAGACACTTTGGAAATGTAGCCCATGATGTACTTTGCTGCAACAGTTTTTCCTGCACCACTTTCCCCACTTTAAAGAAAAAGAAAGATTAAACATTAACAGTAAGGCTCATTCTTCATGCCTGGGGCTCATGAGTCGAAACGATTTTCTTTCTTAAAAAATAACAACAACAACAACAACAACAACAACAAACAAACAAGTCAGCAGTTTTGGGGGTTTTTTCAAACTCACTTCTAAAAACAGTCATCTGAGTTCAAGAAAAAATAAGAACTGATACAGTAACAGTATACATCACAGATTTCAAACTTTATAAAGCACATCAGCAGGTATACACAATATTTTCTTTACAATACGGAGCAACGTCTAATACAAACTGAGCAAAACCATGTAGTTAAGATCTGACTTAACCTTTTCAAAAAAAAGAGAAAGAATTGAAAAGAACCTTCAAAGTGAACACAACCTTTGATGCATACTGATATTTCAGTCTCTTTTGCGTTTGAAAATGTTGGGAGTTCACACCATATTATCTCAGAATTGGCAAAGCAAAAGTCAACTTCAGTCTAAAGAAATGTGATATGGAGAGAAAAAAGCTTCAAACAGTCCCTCCCCTCTCTCTCCTTGCATGAAAAAAAACTTCATTTTTGCTCACCTGATGATGACACACTGATTCTCCATCTCAATCAACATGTTTCTGTACATGTTGTCTGTCAAGGCATACACATGGGGAGGATTTTCATACTGTGCCTGAAGATGCATCCAATAACACGTTTTTCTTACTTGTAGGATAAAATATGATTGGTACAGGATATTATATTCTTTCACTCATCAAATAAAAAAATTACACCCAAAAAAATATGACAAGTTTAAATTTCCATCCACTTTTCTTCAAAAAAAAACGTAATGCAAACAAAGAATATGAATTCTTAAATTTTTCTTACTTGATGGATAAATATGATTGGTACAGGATATTATATTCTTTCACTCATCAAATAAAAAAAATTACAACAAAAAAAATACGTCCAGTTTAAATTTCCATCCACTTAAAAAAAAAATTGATGCCAACAAAGAATGTGAATTCTTATTTTAAAACACACATGCTTCAATCAAGTGATCACCTAACCTATCCTTTTAAACTGGCAAATACACCCCCTCCTTAGCTTATATGCACTCATACAAAGAGAGGCACATACGCATACACAAGCCTATACTCTACATATAAAGAGCATACTTACAGCCCCTTGGTACAGTTCAACTTCTTTTTCCCCATAGATGCTCAACATTTTGAATGGGTTCACAGACACCAACACAGGTCCAATGTATGTCTTGCAAACAGGTTAAAGATCATGTACAAAAGATCATAACTGACAAATCATCTTTTTAAATATTGTTTGCAAAAAAAAGCATGAAGAAAACATAATTACATATTTAATTACTCATTTATCTTTTTCCTGATACTAATAACCTTACAACTGAATACTGAATGATAAAACATGAGTAAAAGAAGTCTCTTTTGTTTGCTTCCATGTATTATCTTTTAGCCATTTTCCGGCAAATGACTCAAAAAACTTCATAACAGGAATGAAAGAACTATAAGTGCTCTTACCAAGACAATCTATTATCTATTTGTGGTTGCCGAATTTTGCTATTCAAAAGGCTTTTTAATGGCTGCAGCGATCGATATGCGGTTTTCGCCAAAAGATTCTTTAAAATATTCTCCAGAGCATGACGCCCTTGATTTTTTCAGTTTTGAGACAATTTTGCTGCAAAAAGCTAAATTTCTTTATTTCGCCGATTGCTTTTGTAGGCCGACGCTTCTGTCTCTGTAATTTTAGAAAATCCGGAAGTGATATTACGCGAGGCGCATTTTGTTTTGAGAGTATAGATCTAGACCTTAAAATTTTTTTGCATCTCTCAAGATTTATTGCCCCATTCCAGTAGAGTGTAAATATAGTTAGGCCAATGAATTTTAGTTGCTATTAAAGCACCAATCATTCCTTTCATCGAAAGGGGGCACAGCTAGTCATCTATAAAGGCAAAGAACCTACTTTTTACAAAACAGTTACAGAACGTGATTCACTTATCAAAAATAGTTTTTTAACTGACTTTCAAGTATATTATATTCATGCAATACAGTTTATCTTCAAATACAGTGCACGCACAAAGTCAAACTGGATACAGTCAAAATATATCAGAACTGAACATTTCAGAGTTCTCAATAAGGATCTTTCTCTTTCCTTCCTAAGTCTTTAAACAAATGCTGTTCTACTTTAAAAAATAATTTTTCCGGCAAATTTGCATAAGCTTTGCTCAAAAGGATACATAAATAACATCATCCATAAATCTTTTCTTAAGATTTTCCATAATTTCTGATTCAGAAATTTTCTGTAGCAGGACCATGTCATCCACACCACTTGTCTTGACATTATGACTTTGCCAGTGATAAGGCTGAAAGAAAAAAAATAATAGCAAGAATTTTAAAAGGCAATACTGTGAATAATGAAGAACCACTCACCCTTATTTGAAACAGCATTGATAAATGTTCTCATTTTAATTCTTCTAGTTATGTAAATAGGACTTGACTAGGCACACATAATTCTACTAACAGCATTTAAATGCTGTTTAATTTAAAATCAAACATACTAAATATCATTTCAGTTCACATTTTCTTATAAATTGCATTAGCTTCCACCTTAGAACCCAGTCATTAGGAGACAAAAACACAACAAGTCCTCAAGGGGAACAGTTAATTTCAAGGGCAAATTCAAAGAGCTGTAACTTCCACTTTGCCTTGACCACTCCCCCCCCTCCCTAATTTTTATAACTGGTTCTTACGCATCTATATTAAGATGGGAAAAAAATTGAGATACACTGCACAAGAAGTATTTAGCCTAGAAGCGGTTCTGTTCTAATACAATGCATTGTCATGCTACGACCACAGCATAAATTTTTTATTTCTCTTCTACTGTAAATATGCACACTGATTACAATTATCTAATTACATTAAACATGGTTTATTAACAAAATAACTATAATGTATTTGGTTTAGAACTGTAAAAGAAACTCAGAAATGTGCTCAACACCTTTTATGTCCATATAAAAACACACATTTTCATGTGAATTTTGCTGAAAAATGTTGATTAATGGCACAATTTATGCAGATTTTCAGTTTTTAAGAACTCTCAAGCTATAGAAGTTACAAAACTTTGGGGGCCATTTTCTAACTTTACATCTGAAACCATGCTACCCCCACCTCTTTCAATAGCAAATATCTTGAATTCTATTCAAGATAGATGGGTGATTTTTGTCATAGAAAGCAAGGCAAGTGAATAAGCTTTCAAATGATACCAATAACTCCACATGCCTAAAATTTGACGAGCGCCTGATTCTACCACGCCGTGACACATATGTATCATATGTGTATAATAAATATACAATAGTCTAAGATCCTGGTGCTTGGGAGCAAGGAAAATGCTGGATCTTAGGCGAACGGGATCTTAGCCGATGGACCAAGGGAAGAATCTACGGTGACTCATATTAAGGCCCACAACAGGTAACATGGTCTCCCTTTACTCTAAAATGAACTGACATAACCCCTAGGTATGACATATGACGAGCAAAGAGTGGTCAACCTTGATGACTAATCACAGTGGCATGAAGCATGCCATTTTCATTTACTATCCTATCGTGAGTCTCAAGATCTATGGCATCAAGTTGCCTCTCCCCTTAACCTGTCCAAAATTTATAGCTTTCCATCTCTGACCAAGTTCCCCCGCCTTTGTTGTTATGCACCATTACGTTGTGACCACACCAATTAAAATTCAGTCTGCCTCGCTAATTCGGGAGCAGAGACAACTGCTGCAATGGTAACGTAGGAGTTCACTTTTTGATATGATCCCACATGGAGCAAACTTATATAGACCATACCCACCCAGCTAGTGACGTAAGTGAAGGTGGAAAGCTCAGACGCGAGTGCAATGTTTGGGGAAAATTTATAAACGCATCGGTCAGTTCACAACTCGGTGTGATCTCGCCCGGTGCAAACACTGTACAGTACATCGAGTTTTACAATACTTATGCGATCACATTCACGAGAGTGGCTGATCTTTGACGCGACAGGCAGTTCAATGATCTCAACTTTTCATTCTTAGTTGATCTGCTGTGCCGCCCCCAGTATTTATTATGCAAATCATTATCTGAAATGCAGGGTCTTAGCCGAATGCAGACCTTCAGAATGAATCAGAGAGGGATCTTAGGGTGACTTTTGTATAGTAAAAATTCTTTTTTTATCTAACAGCGGAATCTTATGCGAATCAGGATCATAAGTCGTGGGATCTTAATCAGAGACTACAGCCCTCATAAATTTGGGAATAAACAAGTAAGTTCAACCAAACAGGGAACCATCTGCTACAAGCCTTGTAGTGCTCGAGGTACTTCAAAGGAAATATTGGCCCAACCCTAGGCTGAGAGACCTAAAACTCTATACGGGCCTGGAGAACCTGTGGCGAACAGCAGCCATCGCACTAGAGACTGGCATATATATTCATTTACAGATGAGCCAGAAGAAGAAAAATCAGTAGGCCAAAGGCATAAATCAATGAGTGCGGTGTCATCAAATACAGAATCAGAACAAACAGTAAAATTTCAGGTCACCATATAAATTGCATATATATAAAACCATGAAATAAATGGAAAACAGACAGAGAGTGTAGTTCATTAGACAGATTGAAAGATGTCAAGAGATGTGTTAACAGGTACTCACCATTTTTAAATATTGGGTTGAGATGTCCCTGTTTTTAAAAAAATAAAACTGTGGAGGACAAAAAAATAAGATAGTAATACAGGGGTAAAAGATAAATCTTAGTTTAAGAATAATTCAAAGTAATAATTCAAACATTTCCTACAAATATACTGTCACCTTTAAAAAAATAAGCATAGTTGCTCCCAAAACAGATTAACAGGGTTTTTTTGCACACAACTCGGGCCTCTCAGTCACCCAACCAGTTATGCCACAAAAAATTCTAACAAATATCTTAAAGTTCAACAAAAGTTCAACAAATCAACTGTAATAGCCTCCCGAGCTAGCACAATCGAACCTATTCATAATAGTCACTCAAAACCACAGAGAAAATGTAACGCTTTATATACAGGCGGTTGCTATGGACAGGTTCAAAGTTAAGGTCAATATTACTCATGTCAAAATGAATTCTCGGGTGGTACATGTTAACCACCAACAACAGAAACACTAAAGATAGTCATGTTTTAATTTTTTTCTTTCCCATTCCACATTTCATTTTCATCAAAATTATTGTCTGTCATTAGAGCTTTTTAAACATGAAATGCTGCTAACAGACTCAACACTACTCATATATAGCAGCCATTACTAAACACAACGGCACAAGAGAAAACACATCCCCATCCCCGACCCATGCAGCCAGTAGCCAATGTAAGACAAATGCTACACTGTCTGTCAATCATTGTCATGTGATGGAATTTTGTTTAATGAGGTCAGCAGCATTGTGATACTATATACAATGCGTCGTAACGTAAGGTGTAGGCGGCAGCAGTGTACTCAGTTTATTGAACCCTCGCACATGATTGGGTAAGTAAGCGTTGCAGTAAGTCCAGCTCCCACTTTTCTAGTATGTAGTATAGATAGTTGCTTCTTTATGCATTGATTAAATGATTAAATGTAATCACTCAGTCTGAGAATGGGATGCTTGAGATGAAAACGTTTGTAGAAAATGACTGATACGGGCAGGTTTTGGGGTCGACTTGCTGCGAAAATGACTGACCCTGGCAGTGTTCGACAGGGACCACTATGGACAGAGATTAAAAATATGAGAAAAACCCAAAATGTCACAGAACAGTGGCTTTTTGTACAGGTGACCCTAAAGGGTAAGTGACAACTTAAGTTGGTTTAGTTGTACAACCAGAGCATTAAATAATTGCACACTCTAAATTGAACGAAGAATTCTACTTCCTTTTCTACTACAATCATTTTAAAACTTTTACTCTCAAAACTTTAAAGACTCTTGTTTTTATCTGCTGCCGGCACAACTATTTCGACTCCTACCATTTAGTTTCAGGCTTTACCTGCTCCGGCACTTACTGCAACTACCAACTTAGAAAATCATGAAAGTGCAGTGTGTGAGATGAGAGCATGAAGAAGAATAAATCAGAGATACAAGATTATATAGAAAGAGAAGGCAAGAGATAGAGAGAGATGGGGAGGGTGAGATGAAGAAAGAGAGACAGGAAGGAGGGAGCAGGGATCTTATAACTAGAGCCCATTTTCTGCGGATAGGATCGGGTCAGGTAGGTACGGGGCAGATGACCACCTGACTCGTCATCTGAAAACAAATGCGTTCGTTTTTTAAGCGACGAGTCCGACACGATCAGCTTGAGCAACGATAGCTGCTTTGCACCTTCATCTGGCTAGCAAACCGATCTGACCCCCCAATGGGCACCTCGTTTAAGAAGAAGGGGAGAGATGGAGAGAGTAAAATAGAAAGAGGGTGGAGGCATTGAAGAAGCAAGTACTTTCTGTACCAGAGCAGGTTATAACATTGACTTGATCAACACCCAACTAATTTTCAAATTATTAATCACAGTAAGCTGTAGGATATAAAAACCATTGCTATTGATATTGTCAATATGGACTACTGCATGGGATGAGACTGAGAGAGTGATACAGTGTGTGCATGGGTGTGTGCATGGGTGTGTGTATTTTATGTGAGTAAGTTGTTTGTGTGAGTGTGTTTGTGTGTACATGTGTGTGTTTGCGAGTATGTGTGTGCATGTAAGAGTGTGTATACATAACCCTGGAAGCGCGCAGCCCTATATAAAGGGCTTGAGCCGGGCTACCCGGAAAGCGCGCAGGCCCTATATATAGGGCAGACCTACTTCGACCTGGAAGCGCGTAGGCCCTATATAAAGGGCATAGACGCTGACTTTTTTCAATAAAAAATTTCAGTATTCTTTATATGGAAAATGACGTAGTAAATTACAGGTCAAAGTTATAAATAGTGACTAATGACTTAGCAAGTTGTCTTGACCTTGTAGAGTGTCTCTTGGCCAAGATATCAATTGATGAAGTGACACGGTCCAGCTGAGCAACTACATGCTAAGTGTTATTACTTATTTCGCCGTGCTAATGTACTAATTGTTGAGTGTATCACATTTTGCACTTTGTTTGTATTTATTTGAACGCAATCACTTTTGAATGGCTCATTCTATATCAGCTTTAACTCATTCTCTGCCCATTTTCATACCAGCGTTCACAGGTTTTCTCTGTGCATCCGATCGAGAATGATAGGTGTGTATATTCGGGAAGGATTTTCATAGTAAAATGAAATAATAAGTAGGTAGTGTCATACATATTTTGAAAGGTAATAAAATGTAGCACTGAAAGGCGTAAAAAAATATTTGATAAGGTAAAGGACGTAATTGATACTTGTCAGAGAACACGTCCATCACATGGGAGCTAATAAAAAGGCAGACTAAATTTCCGACTTTGAATATAAATAATAAACTTTATATTTCAAAAAAGGATTCCTGCGCTCATAAAATGAATGTTACATTCAATTCCCTGCATGTTCATACAAAAAGGTGTATGAAATTGTGTAATTCTAGCAGATTTTAAGATCAATTTTGTAACATCACTGTGACAATACCAAAAGTTGTAATGAATCAGAATTTGCCCGAGTTGCACTTGCTTGTCCAAGTCTAGATTTAGATTTACACCAAGATCTAGGTCAGTATCCTCTTGATTTTAACTTCTCTTGGCTTTCTTTCCCTTTCATTTCCAAGCATATTCACTCACTTCCCTATTATCTCCAACTACCCTCTTTGCTGTCACAGTAGATTTAGATCTACAAATTATGTCTTTCACGCTTCTCACTCTCGATTCAATCATCGGCCAAATCAGAATCTAAAGCTAAGGATTCTAAGACAATATCATCTCTGTCCTCAAGTTTACTAAAGAAAAATTCCCTAGTCTGTTTACAATTTATATATATGCCTTTAAGGTCATTTACTACCAGGCCCAGAAAACATAGCTAGAACTTGAAATGGGTGAGATCATCTTTCGTGTTTTGGTTTCACAAACACACTACACAAAATACTTCAACCATTTCAACTTTCCATCCACTTACGTAGTTATAGACACTATATATTTTGTTGCAGGAAGTTTCTACTTTTGAGATTTCTTTACATCAAAACTTAAAATTATGGATCAAGCATTTACGAACTAAATAAAGTTTGAGTATAGCCTGTACCGACGTATCGATAAAGGGCAAAATTGGTGTGGTCGCGCTGCGGATATATCGGTATAATGGGCAGAGAATGAGTTAACAAAAGATATGGTTTTATATGTCTTTTATCATCTGTTGAGCCGTTTCAGTAGCAGGTATATATCTCTGGTATCTCAGCTGGTATCCCCCGCCGCCAAACCCCCATGTTTACAACCGATCCGCCATGGTGGCTGGGCATTTTTGGCGGGTTACTTCCGGTGAAATGCAGAGCGCTTCGAGGGATAAGTTTCTGTTTTGTCATGCAGTGTAGTGTGTGTGAAGGGGGG